CGTGTGTGCGTCTGGTGTTTGCGTCTGCGACTGTGTGGTCCAAATTAGGTTTAAGACACAACTAGGCATCCGCAGAGCAGTAACATAACCTTCCGCACAGTGTGCATGAGACACACCATCTGTTGTAGTGAGAGGTAACGGAGTCACCGTCTGTGCAAATGCCCGCCGTGCAGTCTGGCACCGCTTGAGCACTGCTCTATTTGGCACTGGCACTGGCTGTGAAACACCCTTCTCAGTACGCCGAGACTGCATGCACACAAACTTCTCTGCATGTTTAACAAACACTGGAGTTCCTCTTCGTCAAACACTGGAGATGACAAGGTAGAATCCCCCCCCCCCCCCTTGACATTTAAAATAGACTGCTTTGCCAATATTGGCTGGTCTGCAGAAATCAAAGCTTTATTAACCACATTACGCCTCTTCAAATATTGAAGAACAAGACAAGACAATGACACTTGTGGCGTGTGATTCGAGTCTGTCCTATATTGGGCTACTGAATGGGAAGAAAGAGAGAGATGAAAGTGTCCCAGGGGCTCACAAAGAACAGGAACCACTCTGTTCGCACTCAAGTGCAGACATGACGTCACTGTCCTGGGAGCAGTATGTACAGCCTGCTTCTTAGTCGCCAGTGTGAATGTTTGAAGGTGTAGAATGAAGTCCGGAAACACATGTGACAACCATTACTGCTCACTGCGACACAAACCCTTGTCTCCACTTCTCACCCATCTCTCTTCCTCAGAAGCAGAGTTTATTTACTTGTGTTTGTTTGTCCGGGCCAACACAGATGTCTCAAATATGATGCCATCAATAAGAGAATAAAATCTATATAAGCTTTTGCAGGGATTATTTCTTGCTGCAGACTTTTCATTTGTTTCAGATGATTGACAGCAGTCAGAGTGTAACACAATGCACACCCTGAAACACGATTTCTCAACTTGTGGTAGTGAAGTAACAACATTAAAATGATGAAGGCTTTATGTTTACTGTGATGGATTATTCAGCCTGGGGAAATGTTAAAAGTCTGTGAAACTTGTTTACCATGAACAAATGAATGGCAGTTTACATATATTGAGAGAAGGACAGCAAAGCTCTTGATTTCTCAAATTATGGTCAGAAGTAAAGAGAAACAATTAAGACAACTAATTAAAACTAAAATTAGCGCCTCATGGTTGCATGCCTCCGCCAACCCATCAAGTTGCAGTTAACTTTCATCGTCTGTCCAAAATGTCACCACGTCCTCATTTTTACCCGATTAGACATTTGTGTGAAATTGAATGAATTAACATATGAATTCTTGAGTTATGACCAAAAACGTAATTTGTGGGTTCACAGTGACCTTTGACCACCAAAATCGAATCAGTTCCTTCTTGAGTCCAAGTGCACGTTTGTGCCAAATTTGAAGAAATGTAATAACAGTTAAATAATTAATGAATGAATGGCTGAATTCCATTTAGCTGTGTGAGGTCAGAGCTCTGATATTGTGCATGCGAGATCACTGGCATGGCTTACTGAGACACGTTAATGGAACAGAGCTTTTGTTCATGTTATAAGTTGAACCTGCACCTTTCCTACGATACCAAGTCAAAATGTCTGAATAAAGGTTACTACATTTGAGCCTCGCTCCGCCCAACTTCAAACTGAATAAGGTTTTAATCAGGCAAATTAAATGGAAACACCTGAGATGTGGCGTGTAAGAGCTCTAAAACCGCCCCGGACAAAATCCCCTGAACTAACAAAAGACAGGCATGCATCATGTGGGACGCTCTGCTTTGAAGCAAAGGGGAATGAGGCCACTATGCTCTTTGGTTTGTCATGCAGAAGTTAGAAGTCTCCATTTGGCAGAGAGCAAAGCTGTTAAATGCATCCAACAAAATATTTACAAAGCCCCTCTTCCTCACCCATTTCTGGCACTTTGACACAGCAGTGATTATAGGTACAATAACTAATCCTTCATTAAGGTCGTGTCCACGTGCTGCGGCTCACTAAGATAGGAAATCAATGTAACTTTGCCTGAAGGAAGAACTGAGTGCTGTCCATCCCCCATGTTTAAACAGTGCATACTCTCCAGCTTCAAAGATTGTCAGAGAAGTAAGAGATCCTGAACCTATTGACAGTAACTTAATACCCCCAGGGCAAAATAACTATGTTTTATGAGCAGGGGCTTTGGTTTAAGAGATTGATCTTATGCCACATCTCTGCTGGACAAAATCACAGCTCAGGTGATGCAGATCACGTTAGGTTGGTGTTTGTTAATTTGGGGATAAGAAAGTCAAACCCCTCTGCATTCCCAATCCACTGGGAGGGAGCCAAAGACTTAAATGTTTCAGAAGAAAATAAACAGTTTCTCTCTAATTCTCCCTTAACCGTTGACAGGGCTTTTTCATTCTTGCAACATTTAATGTTGATTTGAATTACAAATGCAGATGCACATTGCAAATATGTACTTTACCCGAAGATCCCTATGGCTTTGAGTCGCTCTTTAAGGATTCATAAAGCATTTTCAGAGCCCATCTTCCCCACATTTAAGCACTCCAACTCCCAAAAGAGATGGTAATATATTGTTCCAAATATTCTCATTGCGAGCTTGTTAGGGAGTTAAAATTACAATCGTTGAGGCGTAAAGACATTTTGCAGTTACAGTCTTTCCGATTTGAGGACTAAGCAAAAAAAAAAAAACAAAAAAAAAACTTGAAACTACTAAGGCTTTGGATGCGTAATGTTGCCAGCTCATGTTAGTCCAGTGAAGCATGATAGTAGGGCAGCAATGAATGGCAGTAAAGATAACACCAGCAGGCTGAAATGGCTCTTCAGAGGTCTTCATTCTGTCTTTGGCACACAACTGGATTATCCTTTTGGACCCCTCTTGTTGCTTTCCAGACACTGACACACATACAGTAAAGCACACACAGAGCATGGCTGTTCCAACACGGTGACCCCCTTGTTATCTGCTCCTCGCCAGCTTTGTTTGCATGGGTCATCTGGAAACTCTATTTGTTGTTGCCGGTTTGGAGACGCACTAAAGGGGCGAGTCAACAAACTCCAATGCGCATCCCGACCCCGCTGATGTTCCCTTCCGACGAAAGGAGCTCCTGAACAATAAAATGAACAGATGGTGCGAAAAGTTGAATTCTTGGCACCGAAGAATCAATAACTCTCACCTTCTAAAGCGATCTGACTTCGGAGGGAATCTACAAAAAGGGACTGCCTGTCTGTCCGCATTTTATTGTATAACCAATTAGAGGTGTGCTGTCGACATGAATTTAGACTGTGAGCTCTCAAACTTTGTGCTCAGGAAACCAGAACTGAAAAAGGTTTCTGTTTGAGAGTGCCCCGAATCTGCCTCTTCTGAGAGTTTCTCGTATCAATATTAATCTTTTGTTTGATTTTCTGGGAGACCTGAAAGACTTCTGTGAGCCGCAGCCACAACCTTTAGAAAAGGTTTTAGGCTAAGCATTGATCATCAATACTTAGGTCTCACATTTAGGCTTTCAACACATTTGATTGTGACTGATCTGAATCAGAAGAGTGACATTTCACAACAGAGGCAAAAAGAATAAGTAAATAAGACCAGACTGGACCATGAGGTTACCCCAGATGTAGACACACACGCACGCCAAAATAAAACAGGATATAATAGTTTTCAACACTCCAACTTCAGCTCAAACTCCCAACTCACTTTCCTTTAAAAGCTCTCTGCAACAAAAACTTACACTTCATATTATATAAGCAAAACTCAATGACAAGTGTTGGACCTTGAGCTGATGATGAAAAGGCAAGCCAGTGGAAATCTCTCATGAAAACAAAGTATGGAAAATAGTCAAAATCATTGAGGCTATAATACTGTATTTATAATTGATATTATAGAAAATCTACAGCATGAAAAATGAAATCATATGAAAATAGCAAAACAATATTGTTGGAGACTCTGTTACTGCTATACAACCAGAAGTTGAAGAGGTAAAAAAAAGGTGCTAAATTCGAAATTCAGATCATTTCTATTCGGCTCTCAACATAGTGACTTCAGTGATATCAGTGCTAACAGTGCAAACAGCGGCAACAGCGCTGACTGAGCTAACAGTGTTTATCCGAGGGGGAACCAGAGAGGAGGTGCTACGCTTCTGCAACTACGCTGTCGGTCAGGACGGCGTTATCAGCGGTGGTTGTGTGGTACTATATTAATGCTGAATGTCATATAGAGAGAACCTTTAAGTAGAAGTAGAAATACCACAGTGTAGAAGTACTCTTTTACAAATAAAGTCCTGCATTTCAAATATTACGCAAGTAAATGTGCAAAAGTATTAGCATCAAAATACACATAAAGTAAAAGTACTCAGAATGCAGAATGGCCTATTTCAGAATAATCACATATTATATCATTAGATTATCATTAATATTGATGCATTAAGGTGTTAATTACTTTAGTGTAAAGAATGGGTTGATTTTAATAACTGTATATACTGCTAGCTTATGAATTCCCCGTTTATTGACCTATAGTAACACATCTTATTTGAATTGCCGATTGTATATTGCAAAGTCACTAATAACTAAAGTCAACATATAATTGTAGTGGAGTAAAAGGCACAGTAGTTCCTTCTGCGATGTAGTGAAGTAGAAGTATAAAGTAGCAGAAAATGGAAATATTTAAGTACAATACAAGTACCTCACAAATGTATTTAAGTACATCACTTGAATAAATGTAATCAGTTACTTTTCACCACTGGCTAAAACATCATAAATAAATACAACAAAGCAGGTTTAGATTACTATAAATACCACATGAGTGACTGAGATAATAACATAACATGGTGTATGCTGCTGAATTAACCTTATGTCACACTTTATTAACGACATGGAAGCCCCGACTGCTTTATCAGACTGTTTAATGTCCTTTCTTGCACAAACAGTTCTCACTCTCCTCCCTCCCTCTTGGCAGTGGTTCTTCCCGGCAGCACTCAGCATCTCTCCAGCAGCGGACTCAAGGACTTTAGCCACCACCTCGACGCGCAACAGACGGCTCGCTCTCACAACACCGGACCATACAGCGCACGGGACAACTTTCACTCGCATTGTTACGCATGGCTCTGGCTTTGCGCAAAAGCGCGACTGTAACACCGTCTTGGAAGAGCCTGCTGGGATTTTAAGAAAATAAGACACAGCGAGAGCAAACTGATTTGAGGATTTCTTTAAGACATTAATCTCCTTGTGCCAATGATGATCTCTACGCGCTTCACAGGATACCCTCCTCTTGCCGTGTAATCATACAGCCGAAGGCTACGTGGAGGTCCGACGCTTCATCTGAAATTCTCATTTCACGTAGAGATGGATCTGTGGGGAGTTTATCTGTTTAATCTCGTAACTTTAGGTAAGTAAATACTTGTCTTTGAAAAAATAAAAAATAAATGTAGCAAATGTTGGAATTGTTTATCGTCATCAGTGGAAGAAAATAATCCAACCTGCTCGTTTGATTAATCTCATGACATTAATGACATACAAGGACTTTATCGGTCGTTTCTTCCATCAGTCTTTTGAAGAAAAAAAATAACGTAAAAAAGCGCACTTTGTACAATTTACATATAATATATTTATTAATAATTTAAAAACATGATTAGAGATCAGCTGGGTTGTACAGCATGTGTTATGCAAAAAAAAAAGAGAGGTTTACGCATATGCGCACGCGCTTTATGTGCGCGTGCACTATGGGTCTGAGCGCGTGAGTTTCTGTAGGCTATGTGGGCCCCTATAAAAACTGCCCAAGAACGCTCCTTTTTTTCCACGGGGTCAGTGTGTGGATTATGTTTTTGTGTTCTTGGTTATGCATATTTACTCACTGCAGAATCCAATATCCACATCTTAGGTATGCTGTATTGCATCATAAAATATTTACCATATATTCAATACCTTTTCACCCCTACACCGAATATTATATGGATTCAAAGTTGCATATGACACTTGCTTCATTGTTTAATCTAGTAAACCCGACACTAGTGAACATCCCCAGCAGCACATCGGTCATTGCAGTGTCACTGAGCTACCTCCTCTCTATGCAATTGAGCAAATCTGGAATATTGATTTCTGTGGCAACAATCCACAGTGTTAAGAGAGCAGAGCTGCCTGTTGTTGGCTCACAGTGTCTCTTTGTTACCAAACACAAATATGTCAATCTCAATGCTGCCACAGTCCTAACTGTAACTAATATGATTATACCCGCACTAATGGCCACGGCACCAGCCATGATCATTCTCCCTTTTAATTAGCACCAACTTTCCTTCTCAACAAAGGCTGGAATATGCATTATATCTCACCCCTTTATTCATTAATGTCCTATTTAAAGGTCTTAGAGGAATGAATGCCGTAAGAAATGCTGAACGGAAAAGAATGCAGTTTGCTTTTGGAATCAGCTTTTTTCTCTCTGTAATGACGTCTGACGGTCACATTTATTTGATATGATTTGGCTAGTAATGGCTGATTAGAGACAGACGGGGACAGTTTTGTTCTCCAGCCATATGCCTGGAAACAAGCCACTGTGCTTGTTTTTGCAAACCTGCAGATTTAAATGTATGTAATAAACACAGCAGTATTGCTCTACTCAAGATACATTACTGATAAACCGGATGCTGATTCTAGGCGGTTTAGCCATCTGCTCAAATCAATTAGCCAACACCAAGCTGCAAAAGGTCAGAAACTGTTTGGATGACTCAACCTAGTTATGTGGCATTCTGGGCAGTTTCTGTGACTTCAAATGCTCGATGTGGACTGAAAACCAAACTCACACATTATCCAGCTTTCCAAGCTGCTCTAGCCAACACAGAGGATTCTCAAAATCTCCACAATTTTTCAGAAAGAGCTGGAGAAAAGAAAGCAAACACCATGAACCTTATTTCTCAGCTTGGAGTAATGGATATTAGAAGGCATTGTTGGAACATTTCTTGGCTTTTTTTGTCTTTGTTGGGTGAAAATCTTGTTGCACCATTTAAACATTTCCTTTTGAGTTATTTGTGCTCACTATTTACTTTTTGAAACACAGAGCCAGACAATGTTAGTTTCTTTTTCAGAAGAAAAGCAAATGAATCTTTAAGTTTTATTTTTGTAAGTATCAAAGATAGTTAGGCATTGTGAGGCCTTATGCAGATGCCAAAATCGTAAAATGTTAACATATCCTACTAATGAATAATTAAGGGTTGAAGGTATCCCCCCCCCCAAGAAAACAAACAAGATATTTGAAGATGTCAACGTGGGCTGGGGAATTGTAATGGCCATTTTCTCACATTTTATATGCAAAGTGTTTTATCTATTCATTTTATAAAGTAATGATGAAAATAATCTTCAGTTACTGCTCCAGAACATTTATACGGACGAGATAACGGTCGTCATTTTCTATCAGTGCAAATCAACCATTATTTCTACAACAAGCTTTGTTTGGTAAAGCGTGCTCATTAGACATGTGATCCATGTTGTTCGAAGACGAATCATGAACCTTGAACCATGAAGACATTACTCTAGCAGGAGGTCAGTTTCATACATTCAGAGGAGGTGGAACAATCCGGATCAATGTTGCCTCCACCGTAGTGAAAAAGAAAAAGGAATCCCAGCCAAGTGGTTGACTGTCCCCAGCTTTGATCTTATCTGAATGATATATGTGCACCAGGACTCACTCTAACAGATCCACACGGAGGCTCGAAATGATATAGAATTAGGCACAACTGTGCAAGTATTTTCCTGCAGTATCAACTTAAAATGGTGAAAGGGCACCACCGTCACATCGCGACCATTTTATATCACGTCCAAATTGTAGCGCAAGGTGATTGCATTCAACATTAATGGGTCAAACTGAAAGCCCGAGGAGTGATCTCTAAGTGGCACTCAAACTGGTAGGGGTTGCCGTGAAAAACCAGTCGCAGCTGACACGGAAATACAAATTGGGTAATAACTCTTCTAATAATTTACATTTTTCTGATTAAGGCCTGCCATAGATTTTTACTTGTGTTTCTTTTTGTACTTTAACCTCCTTTCTCAATCAGAGATGCTTTTGAACCGCAACAGCGACCAGCTTCATCCTACCATCAAGCTATATTTTCTGATTTAATGGTTTTGACATTGTGGGATACTACCTGTGTCTTTAATGGAGACAGATAAGTACCGCCAAGCATGCTATTACCTAGCATATTGGCTGGCCTCTTGAAGGGGATTTGTCATGAATCTCATTTGAAGCAGGCACCATGGCGGACATGCAGCCCATCACAAGCTTATGCTGTCTTGATGTGCGACAGATAGGTCAGTCATTCTGGACCCAGTAAAATATTGGCCCTATTGGTGAGAGGAGATAAAGTGTAACCTTCACTATGGCAGTTTCACCACAACGTTATTACCACATTAACTGCATGTATGACACATTATGTATTTGAACCTTCATACTTGATGTCAGGTCAGGGTTAAATACTTGGTTGTAAATGTGCCGTAACTAATAGAATTTCATTGCATTTTAGAAATTAATTTTGTCCCTCTATGAAACGTTAATAAAAACACTGACTTTCTGGTCATTTTTAGACATTTTTGTGTTTGAGAATCAGTCTGAGAGGGCTAAAAACATGGTTTCATCCAAGTTTAGTTCTACTTCCCCAAATAGGTTCCAAGAGAGGAACTGATACTTAATTTTCTTGATTTCTTAGTAACTGTATGCTGGAACATATACTATATAATGTATATAATACTATGTAGCCTGGCTCCAGACCTCATCGCCATCCACAATATTGACGTGTTCAGGGATTTAAATGAATGAATAGAAGCGAAATGGCAACTCGGTCAGATTTGTCAGGGAAGGGAAAACGCAGTACTCAATCGGTACTCTGCACATTCTCCCATTCATTTCTAGCACAGCCTACTCAGTAGTAGTAGTACTAGTAGTAGTAGTAGTAGTACTGTTCAGCTTGGCAAAAAAGTAAAAGCAGTCAAACCAGCAAATATGTAACAGAAGGATCCTTTAAATTTGATTATTACAGAATTAGGACAAAGGTACAGTATGTACTAAGTGGGACAATTGAACATGTATCATATCAGTGCTCACTGGTTGGCAAATGTAACACACACACACACACACCATTTCTAAAACAAATCTTTGATATTTCTTGTGACGTCTCCGCTGACAGACACCGATTTATCTGCATTAAGTGGATATAAGGCAATATATGCCCAGCTGATATTGACTAGGGTCTAATAACTGGGTTCATCTTTAGTTTGTGCTTCAATATAAAAGGGTTTTGAAGTGTGAATCTTTACCTTGAGTACTATTATATACTGTTGTAAAACAGGTGAGGAAACAAAGGAAAATGTTATGGATTCTGGCATAAATAATAGCTGCAATAACAACTTAATGCATCCGTCCTAATGGAAATAAAACTCCATAAAGGATACAAGTTTTCCATCTAAAGCCTATCAATATGTGTGAGTTACATTCACTCACTGGCAGAGCTGGGGGTTAAAAGCTTTCGAGACACAATGGCTGTTACACTCTTCCTGTGTAGTACCTCTGTTCTCCTGCCATCTTCAGAGCCCTTCAACATGTCTTTGTATTTAACAAGTGGGGTTTTAAAATCAGCTGTTGACCGGGCACATTGCCAAAGATCTGATGTCAGTCAGTCTGACGGTTCTGGCCTTTAATGGCGACAGTATTCAATTTCTTACATAACTTATCTGCCTATAATATTAAACTATAACAACTTCAAACAGTACATGAAGTTCGGAGGAAAAGCTGCCCACAGTTGAACGGTTTAAAAGACTGAGGCAAGCAGTGACACCGTCAGGGCCTGCTGGGAGAGGGTTAAAGCCAAAGATGCAGCATTGATTAGGCGTGATGAATGTGGGGGGGATATAAATTAGTGTGAGTGTAAAGCCCTAATCCATTATTGCAGCCGAGTGCCTCCAGTTATATCACTATTAACTCATTACTGAATGTGTTTACATTTTAAGATTTATGTGATTGAAGGCACTCTGTTAGGGCAAAATGACCAACAACAAGTAATGGGGAGACAGAATACAACTCCTGTCTATTTCACATTTATATTTCATGTCTTAAGAGGATTAGTGGCTTAGTTTGCCAATAAAAATAGGACAGACTCTAATTGGGAGTTACAATAGATGGTAATAGCTGTAAAAACCTTATTGTCTAACCATTCATATTAATACATTTCCATTCTCTTGTCCAACTTGTCTTCATGTCAGCAAATATTTTGGAAAAAAAATATAACAAAATATGGCCCTTCAAGATCAACTGCTTGAGCAATTTCATTCTCACATTTTCACAAACCACTTCTGTATCATACGTGTCTGATCCCTGGCTATTAACATTTTGTTAGCTACTTAATGTCC